TTTTTGCCCATTATGCTGCATGTGCACTGCCATGGTTAGGCCAGCACGTTGATTTGCAGAATGTAAAATGGGTCCTGTTCATAAAACCTCAAGGTTTATTTTATTTTGAAATGGGAATGTTTTCGGTTTTTCACTCATTTACAAGGCTCGTGATTCTCTCCCCTCTCCCTTTTCTCCTTCCACCTCTCCTCACTCTGCCTCCTCACACAGCTGTGTGGTGTGACACTCACAGCCCAGTGCTGTGCAGATGGTTTGCACAGTGGGGTTCTGTAGAAATTCAGCTGTTATTCCCCGGATATCTACACTGATTCCCTACTGTAGCCTTGTTCTTCCTTTAAAAGGAAATCTAAATCCATATTTTTGACTTGAAAATATCTAGTAGCGTTTGCAATAAATGCGTGTAAATCCGTTGTTCTTTGGTGAACCTTTCATTCTAAAGCCTAAATGAACTTGATTGAATTTCTGAGCCAGGAGCTAGGAAATGAGTTTTGCCTGGGATCTGTAGGGTTGACTTGAGCTGGTGTGGGTGTCTAACCTGGGCATTTGAGCTGAGGCTGAGGACTGATCCATATGTGCACTGCACCAGAATGAAAGGAAACCAGCCCCATTGCAAAATAATTAGAAATCCTCTCCTTCAAAAATTACTTTTGATTATTGTTTTTGAAGTCATCTGTTACAACCACCTTCCCTTATTGTAGCCTACGCCATATGTAATAGATGCGATTTTCACATGAAACAATATAAAGTGGTAAATGATTTTACAAACTATGGATTATGTGAATTTAGGAAGTTAAGAAAGCAATAAATCCTCTAGTCCACCAGTGAAAATAGACATATCCAGCATTTGAATCCCCCATGAGCAATTTAGACGTTGGGCATATTTCTACTTGCGCCTACTCTATTAAAGCTGTAATAATTTTGAAAAAATAATATTGATAAAAGTTGACTTTCAGTGGCTTAGGTCTTGAGTAAATGATTGCTTTTTTTCCCCCTAAGATAAAAAAGGATTGCCAGAATGTCATGCTACTTAGATTTCAGAAATGAGTATTCTCTGAGTTACAGTTTCTTTTTCCTTTTTTCTTTCCTTCCTTGGAGGGAAATTCGGGTGCCCCATCACTCAGTGGCTTGTGTTAGTGGGAGCACAGCCTGACACATCATGTATAATCCCAAACTCTTTCTCCTGTTTTCGATTAGCATCTATGGGTCTTGCAGATATGATGTCTCCTGGTGAATCCAAACTGCCCCTGCCTCTCAAAGCAGATGGTAAAGAAGAAGGCTCTGCACAGCCGGAGAGCAAGTCGAAGGTACTCCTCTCTCCTCTGCACGTGCTGTGGGGTCTGCTCGCTGCAGCTGCCGTGTGGCTCTCTCCTCACTTTCTTTCATTTGGTTTCTTCTCTTCCGCATGCCTCCATCTTGTGCGAAACGTTTGCAGTACTCTTTCTCCGCCCCCCTCATGGTGTGGATCTGAAAGTTACTAGTTCTTATGGCATTTAACTCGTGGCTGGGGGAGAGGGGTGGAGGGACAGGACCCACCCAGAGAAATGCTTCGGGGGTGGGGAGACGGAAGGGATCTCGCCTGATTGGTACTTGAAGCCATTTTCTCTGCCTTCAGTTTATAGCTTCCTGTTTTGGCCGCCTTAGCAACAACAACATACTTAATATTTTGCTTTCCTACCTTATTTGATAAATAAGGTGAACAGCTTTTTTTTTTTTTTTTTCCTTTCTTTCTTTCATAAGGGGTAACCCATGCTTAGCATTCCATGTAAGCTTGAAGTAAGCATGGTGGCTCAGTGGTCTTATCCAGCATCCAGCAAACTTACCAAGTTATACTAATTAAGAATGTTGTTTTAATACTTTTATATGTGTGTGGTTTTGTGTGTTTGTTTGTACATGTCTTTATATATATATCTATATATATATCTATATCTATTATATATAAAAATTAGTCTGTTAAACTGGATGTGCTTTTTGTTATTTTAAATAAAGTTTGCCCTACCTTTGTCTTTTTTTTTTTTTTTTTTTTTTCCTCTACCACAGGATAGCTACAGCTCTCAGGGTATTTCTCAGCCCCCAACCCCCGGCAACCTGCCAGTCCCTTCCCCAATGTCCCCCAGCTCTGCTAGCATCTCCTCATTTCATGGAGATGAAAGTGATAGCATTAGCAGCCCAGGCTGGCCAAAGACTCCATCAAGCCCTGTAAGTGGCTCTGGTTTTTTGTTTTTTTTTGTTTTTTTGGGGTTTTTTGATAATTAATTCTATTTTAATGCTTGCTTATTTATTTGTTTTATAAGACTTTTTCTTCATAATTTATCCATGAAAGGGTTTTCTTTATAGTAGTAACAAAATGAGTAAAGTTTGTATGCATCATACATAAGTTGATTGCTGGTAATGAAACCACTGGTATAAAGAAGCGTCTCTATACGAAGCATGTGATTGTGTTACTGGGTCCAAACTCCTTCACGCAATGACTTTGTTTAAATGTCTAATCCATTGTGCGCTTATAGAAGATCTTTAAAATGAGTTAACTGTCCATTTACATGGGAACTAATAGCAGCCATGGAGTATATGATAAGTTTGGCCTTTGGCCTAAATCTTTCATCGGCTATTGTGTCCGAAACATCTTATTTCAAAACTGCCTATCTTGAAAATATAAATATTACACTCTGGGCACAGTTTAGCATATCATAAGCCAGGCCTTGTTTCAATCTGCTTGTCAGAAATTAACAGAAAAGTTGTAGAAATGTTAGTGCATGTGAATAGTTGGAATGCTTCTCTTAGATTAATGTGTGCCTACATTAGAATCAGTTGAGATAGAAAAATTATATCCTGCACAAGCCTGCTCATAATCTTGATATTAAGTGTTGATTTCATACGATATTTTAAAAAACAAAAATGGAAATGTGCATATAAGGGAATTTTTTTAGCCTTAGTATTCTTCTGTCTGTAGAGCTAGGCCTTTATTTTCCTACTAAAGAAATTAATTCTGTGCCATTGAAAAAGAAGAATGGCACTCTCGTAACCTTTATTTTACATTCATATAAGAAATCAAAAGATCTTTTAAAAAAAAAAAAATCTTAACATGCAATTACTTGCCAAGCAGGCTTAATTAATGCGCTAATTTTTGCAAGACAATGTATTGAAGAGCAGAGCTCAGGAAAAGCAAGTTGGAGGGAAGAGGACCCTGACTGCAGAATCTGGCAATCTAGTCAAAACCCCAAAAGGAGGCTGCTATTAATTATCCATTCGCTGGTTTAAGCAGATAGAGCTGAAGGTTTGAAGACTTGGTAGTTCCACTAAATGTTTGTAAAATTCATGTGGAGCTCTAGTATAACCAGCATTTTCCTTTGCAGAGGAAGAAAGGGCAATATTCGCTGTTACCTCCTTTGTAGACATATGTTTCGCTTTTTCAACAACCGAGATGAAATGAAAAATGCTTCTAATATGGATTATGCAGAACTAATGGAAGAGAGAGTGCAGCTCCTTAATTCTGATATCTTTGTGTTACTTGCTTTGAGTCTCAGAAGGCAGCCAACATTGGGGGGCGGGGAGGGGCGGTCCCATGATCTATTCTGGTGTTTTGTTTTAATCATAGAAAAAGTGTTTTTGAATCAGTGATACTATCAAGTTAACAGGTAGAACCCCAGCTATAACTTTTCAAAAACATTTGTTTATTGGCTCAGAAGGGAAGATTTCAGAGGTTGAAAATATCTTTAAAACCTTAAGATAATAATTAAGAATAATAACTTATTAAAGACTACTAATAGACCATATTATAGGTTTAAAATTTCCATCTTGCTGATTTCTGAATTATAAAGAATGATTGAGATATTTATTTTAAGTTACGAGTCACATTATCTCTATTCAATAAGTCCTGTAGGAAACTGTTATCAAAACCCTCCTTTCTACTTAAATATGAGAAAAAAGAAAACTTGAATTGTTGATTTCATTAATATTTCTACATACATTATCTCTCCCGGTACCATAATCATTTTTTTTTGTTTAAGAATTTACAAGCAAACTTCTGGCTCCTGTCTTAGAACAAGGGAACAGCAGAAGATGTGGTTTGAGGTAGTGGGAGGTGTTAGAGATTGCTCTGTGTTGAAAAAACAGCACCACCCTCTAATGAGATGCTCATTCAAGAAAGGAACTAAGGGAGATTGTTATGCAGGACCTAAGCTTATCTCTGCTATCAAATCACTGCAGATATATATTGAAGAGTATTTAACTTCTCTTTCTGAGATACAACTTTAATTTGTACTTAAAATTGCTCCTAACAGTGCTTCTAATAAAGCCTATCTAATAGCAGGCCTGCAATGGACTAAATAACAAAGATGTTCTATGCTTTGACAGTGTGCCATGGACCAGCGCTGTTTTGTTAACAAAACATTCTAAAATAAAAATAAACATTTGCACATACACATGCATATACACATATTACCAGGCATATGGTAAAGACTGCTGAAATGTAAATCTGCTTTAAAGACTTGAGGAGAAGTGTACTTATAGACTTAATTAAGTTATATGCAAGGAAAACATTTGTGGCACCATAATAATGTCTTGCTGTAATTTTTCAGCTATCTCCATTTCTTTTTCCTGCCTCCACGACTGTTTCATGCAGTAGGATACAATTTTTACAACACCAGAGCAATATGAGGTGGTGCTAGTGGCCTGAAAAAGTTAACCAGCTTTCTTCGGGGCTAGTTTTCTTGCCCATTGTTCAGTGGGTAGAGTGTAAATGACGTTTATTCAAAGGTCACATCATAATTAATGTCTCTGAACAAAAAAAGTATGTTTTGAGCCTGATCAGGGATAAAGTGTATAGTCTTTATTTCCTAGGGCTTTTGTTTTCTCTTAATGTCCTTTTTCTCTGTTTGGGCACCCAAATACTAACTTTGGGAATGGGCTAGTGTGCAGCCCTGGAAGCTGGGAATGGAGATGTTACTTGCCCACCAATCCCTTCTCAGCTTTCAGTCTTATTAGATTGTGTCCACATTCACTGAGCACTTCACTCACTGAAAACCTGTTTATAGAATATTTTAATCAGCTGTTAATTCTTACTTGGATGGTGCTAGACTTTTCAGACTTTTCTTGTCCATTTGAGTATTCACTCAGAGCAAATAATGTACTGAGTACCGTCAGTGTGCTGTCACTGTTGGTGATTCAGGATCAACCCAGTTCCTGCCTTGTGGAACTTAAAGTCTAGTCAGGAGAGTGGAGGGCAGACAGCTAATCCCACGCAAAACATAGGCCTCTATGCACTGTGAGGCCAGGGGCCACCAAGGACAAATAAAGCTTGCGATGATGATTCAGACCAGGGAGCTGCTGGCATCAGGGGAGGCCTCTTCTAGGACCTAACATAAAACTGAGGCCTGACCACTTTCTTTTCACACAGATGCATTTTTTTACTTTATGGCACCATAAAATGCATTTTTGAGGATCTAAAAACTATGAAAAGTAAAACAATTCTATTAAAAACTGTTATCTTCATTAAGGTTTTCTAATTTTATGAGAACAAATTGAGATATGTAGAAGTTAATTAAACTTAAGTTCACTTAACAAAGAAAGGTAAGAAAAGTTAAAATATGGATAGTCAAACTAAGTAAATCATTACTTTAGGCCAGTTTCAGGTTACGAGAATCCACTCCCTTCATAGATAGGAACAAACACTTCACAGTCTCATTGCTTGGGCCACGATTAACTTTCTTCTGGAGCCCTTCCACAGTTTGGGTTTAGAGAGGACCTGGCCGGGAACAGCAGCTGGATCTTTTACTCGGGTTGTTGGCGGAGCACCTAGAGTGACTGTAAACTGAAACGACTGATTTTATATCTCTTATTTTTAAATGGAATCTCAGACTTTTCCTCTCAGTTCTTCACAGATGAGATGCAAGGGGGAGGTTCATGGTGGTGGTTTTAATTGATTTTAGGTGATAATGGTTTTTTCCTCTGGTTCTTCTTTCAAATTTTTATTTTTTTTAAGAAAAGATTGGGTCCATTGTTTTCAGTGTACCTCCCAATAAAGACAAAGTTTCAAAACTATGATTTGGAAACCTCCTGTTCATAACTACCTCATTAATGATGACAAAGTTTCTGAAACGTTCCCAGTATGAGAACGCGGTGTAAAATGTGTTAGAACAGTTTCTTTTCCGAGTCAGATGTTCCTTGGGTGTGAGAATATGGTAAATAAATTTTAAAAACTTATTTGGTTATGGAGTATGTTCCATAATCTGGTATGTACATGAGTTTATAGACATATATAGGAACATGTATACATACTTTAAGTTCTTATCTACAGTAACTTTTAAGTGAGTTGTTCTTTAGCTTCAGCATCAAATTCTGAAAGATCACATTATTTTTTTTTATCCTACCACTCTACTTTATTTACATCAACTGTATTACCCAGTTTTATATATTTTATGTAAAGATTTTATGCTTCAATAATTCTAAAGCCGAAGGCTGAAAATTTTAGCCAGAACAGCTTTGGGGAAATTACGTGTTAATTGGAGGGACCTCTGCCACTCACCAGCTTGATTAGTTTCATTCTCAAGCATCCTTTCTCAGGCCCTACCACCACCACTGCCCCCATTTCAGCAGTATGCTTAAAATTATCTTGAGCTAAATATAGTGGAAAAGTGTTAAGAAAAACTCCATCTAAAATAAGAGCTATACACTGCACATGACAACCTAGTAAATAAACATGACTAAATGAAGTATATTATTATTCCAAGGAAATCTTTATCGAGACTTTACAAGTGGTTTTGCACAATAATCCCGGAGTTGCAGATATTACAAGTGCACAAATATTGTTACAAATACAGAGACATAAAAGAAAGGAAAAATATACAGTTGGGCTCTTTATGAAACAGCAACTTTTGACATTTTAGAATCAAATACATAGTTAGGAAAATAAAAGGCCAAGAATTAGAGCATCAGTATAAACCAAATGGGCACATGAAAGTAAACGTGTGTATTTATCCATAGATATGCTGGGAGTATGAAATAGCACATGTCTTTGTGATTAACACATGGCTGCTTAAGAAATGTATTAAAATATCTAAACAGCCCCTTAACCTTGGCAGAGAAGTTCAAGAAATCTTAAGTCGGGAAAGCAGGTCGTTAGGAGCGAATGCCAGAGCTTCAGCTGGCCATTAGTTTACAAAGCTCTCGAGTGTAGAGCCCACACACCACTGGGTCCTGTGACATGTGACCTACCTTATATTTTTCAGCAAGTACCACGCGTTTGCTCTTCCTCCATATGATTTAGTTTTAATGAAGACACACATCGGCCATCCTCATTTTGACAAGGAAATGTAGGAGACCATGTAGTTTTTTAGGGCTCCGTAACATTACGTGTGAAATTTTAAATTCACTGTGATCATTCAGTGAGCTAGCACCCTTTCGTTTTTAAAAATGACGCGAGGCCTCATTGGAATCTTGCCTTCTGGGATTCAACGCTTATATCGATAAAGTAAAAAAAAGTTTCTGTTCCTTTCTTTTTGCTTTTCAAGTATATAAAAGGGGGAGTTTGGGCCCTTTATTTAAAGTCAAAGTAAATCCTTAATTAAGACAATGTATACTCTGTGCCTGAACTAGTAGCCTTCATTCCTAATTGTTGTGTGATTAGCAGTAGTTTTAAATTTTCTTCTCTTCTTGTGTTCGGTAGCCCATTACTTTTTTCTTACCTTCTTCCCTTTCCCTCTGCCCACCCATGCCCCGTCTCCAAATGCTCCTTCTGGGCTCTAGAAGTCCAGCTCATCCACCACCACGGGGGAAAAGATCACAAAGGTGTATGAATTGGGGAATGAGCCAGAGAGAAAGCTGTGGGTAGACCGATACCTCACCTTCATGGAGGAGAGAGGCTCCCCGGTCTCAAGTCTGCCTGCGGTGGGCAAGAAGCCCTTGGACCTGTTCCGACTCTACGTCTGCGTTAAAGAGATTGGAGGTTTGGCACAGGTGAGAATGAATGAATGAATGAGGAGATGCTATAGATAAGCTCTTACAGCAGCTTACTTTGAATATACAGACTCGAATTTTTTTCGCACAAAGAAAAAGCGAAGCCCCTGGGAAGGTCACCTTTACTGGGATCCATGTTCATGTGCTGCAGGGGGAGAGTGCTGGGGCCAGGGACCTGGATCCGCTGCCCACTCGCAGAGTGACCTCAGTCATTTATATGGATCTCAATCCTCATCTGTAAGATGAGACATTTGGGCTAGATTTTGCTTTCGGGTCCCTGACAGCTCCAGAATTCTACTGATTCTGTCAGAATTTCATAGTAAATAAAAATGTTCTGCAAATGACTAAGTTGTCTAGATTAGATATAAATCAAAAATTCACTGTTTCCCTCTCTCCAGAGCAATTTAGCAAGAAAACTAAGTCCTACTTCTAAGACCACGTCCACTGTACCTGGGCGACAAGAAGAGCAGTGCTGTCCCTTTTTCACAGGGCTGGGACTGGCATGGGCAGAAGTGGCACCCGGAGTGCAGAATTCCAGGAGGCGCTCGTTTTGGGGTTGTGCAGATGCCTCCCCTGCACTTCCCCTTTCAGTTTTGTGCCCTAGAGGCCACACTTCCCTCACCAGTCTCAGCCCAGTTTTTAGCATTGGGTCTGGTTTGTGTATCCATGTCCCGAAGTAGAATGGGGGAAAGTGTCCTAAGCGGGGAGTGCCCACTGCTTTCTGGGCACTGTGCTTTTTCTTGTCACTTTTTTTCTCAATACCCGTGAAATGCAAGGTCATCAGCCCTGAAGAAGAGATGTAACAAGATGAAGTGCAGTTGTCCCTTGGGGTCCATGGTGGGGGGGGGGGGTTGGTTCCAGGACCCCGACGAATACCAGAATCCTCAGAGCTCGAGTCCCTTATTTATATAACCTACACACAACCTCCCGTATACTTTAAATCATCTCTAGATTACTTAATAATATCCAACAAAATGTAATGCTACCTAAATAGTTGCTGGTACAAATGCAAGTTTTGATTTTTGGAACTTTCTGGAATTTTTTTTTTTTTTTTTTTTGATACTTTGAAGTTGGCTGAATTCACAAATGCATCACCCAGGTACACGGAAGGCCGACTGTACAATGTTGTGGCCCAGGGATTCTCAGGCTAGGTGGTGAGGCCAAGTCTGTCTGATTGCAAAAACGCAAGCCCTTTCATCTGCCCCTAGTTCTCAGACCTAGCTGTTCATTAGCATCACCTGGGGGAATTTAAAACCTGTCAATACCTGGGCTCCCACCCGGATCAATGAAAGTAGCTGCTCGGGCCTCAGCTGGTGCGGGGCCTCGCTACCCAAAGGCAGGTCATGTAATCCACAGGTATCACTGAGGGCCCACCCTGGTCTCGGTGCCACACAGCTCTTGGGGATGCAGGAGAGGCCTTTGTTCTCAGCCCTCCCTGAGGTGCCTCCTCCCACCCGAGACCTGAGGCCTACAACTGAAGCAATCAGAGCTTGACTCCAGACTGCCTGATCAGATGGTAAATCACAGGATGCAGACCAGGTGTGAGTGGTGGTCAGTGAAGGGAGAGGTCAGGATACACACCTCTCACTTAAACCCCCTGTACCTGGACACCCCTGACCTTTCCCCTCTGAGCATAGACACCCCCCCCCGACCTTTCCTCTCTGCACCTAGACACCCCTGACATTTCTCCTATGGGCATAGACTCCCCTGACCGTTCTTTCTTTACACCTACACCCCCTGACAGATTTTTTTAGAATCCCCTCCCCAGGACGCTAAACAATTGGGTTTCACCCATCGCAGAAGCGTAGGGGTCGTCTAGACACCTCACTCTGTCACTAGTGTGTATTCCCACGTTGGGTCTGTGAGCAGGACTCTGCTGGCTTAGCTAATGAAGCTGCTTGAACGTAGCAGTGATTCACAGTGGTGATGAGCTCCTTGGCAGCATTGTTGCTCACACCCTGTCTTGCGCTCTACCTGGTGGCCATCAGATGTGGTTGGAATAGGTGCTGCAGCCACAGATAGATCAGCTCATTCAGGGTATATCAGGCAGCGCTCTGCTTACTGTTTGGGAAGCAATTGCAAGCCTGCTTGTTGCAGCCTGGCGTTAAGTAACAAAAATGGCATTAAGCATTCCCAGTAGTATTCCGTGGTTTATCATGCACCATTTAGTACTAAGTAAATGGACATAAAGAGCTTTGTGAGAAAGTTTGAATCCAGAAATTGAACATTTCATTAAAACTCACTGTCCCCTTAACCTATGCTACTTAACACAGGAAACGTCTAAAGGCAAAATATTCCCCAAGGATTTGCAGGCCTTCACGTTTCCTTCGTATTTCGATGTCATGTAACTGTGTTCCCATGTGGGAATCAAAAGGTTAAAGTAATTCCTCGAATCCTTTTATAACATTTGAGGATTTCCTTCCTTTTTTCTCTTCTCTTTTTGCAGCTGTGTTCCTTCCATCCGAAGTGTGACTGGGAACCCTGGGTAGTCCTTTGCACCCCTTCCCAAGCCCACAGGTGCTACCATGTCAGCGACCTGGTGCCTCCACAGCTCAGACAGGGCTGATGGCTTCGGCCGGGCTTTTAAGTTGGGGTCGTTTGGTTGGGGCCTTATTCACCCAACACCACAAGAAAGCCTCGTGAGAGGCTGGGCGCGGACCAAAATTATAGGCACATCTTTCCGGAAGCTTGAGGCTGTTGGAAGAAGATATTGTTTTTCATATTAAGGCTCAAACACTTAACTTGCAAAATAGTTCTGTTATTGCTTCTTACGTTAGTTTTTTAGACACCTTTTTTTTTTTCTTTTTTTTTTTTAAGATAAGAAGAGGTGGTGTGGGGATGAGTGTGAGCGAGAGCGTACATTTGGTCAGAGATAAATTGCTGGGCCCGGACAGCACCAGCTCTGGAAGAGTGTGAGGCTTTAGAAGATGCACCAGGCAGAAGAATCTCCACGAGCAAATGCTTTTTATGTTGCTATCAGCAGGTTCCTTAATGGTTTTATAACTGTAAATGCTGTCTGTGCACTACTGAGTGGGAATAATGAGCATTAGTTAAAAGAGGCAAGTGAAGAAAAAAAAAAGTAAAACAGGACATTAAGTGCTTTTTTTTTTGTCTCCTGGCTTTAAACAAGCCACTTTGCTGCAAACCAATGATCCTGCCTCTTTTTTTTTTTTTTTTTTTTTTGGCCAGGTTAATAAAAACAAGAAGTGGCGTGAGCTGGCAACCAACCTAAATGTTGGCACTTCAAGCAGTGCAGCGAGCTCCCTGAAAAAGCAGTATATTCAGTACCTGTTTGCCTTTGAGTGCAAGACTGAGCGAGGGGAGGAGCCCCCGCCGGAAGTCTTCAGCACGGGAGACACCAAGAAGCAGCCCAAACTCCAGCCGCCCTCTCCTGGTAAGTGGTGGTGCTGCAGCTGTAGCGGCGGCCGAGCCGGGGACCCCGCCCCCATGGAGCCCCTCCCAGGCTCTAAGAAGGCCGCTCGGAGTAAAGCCAGCAGAGCAAACTGGAATCTTAGAGAGCCAGGGGTGTTCTCTTCTGCCTTGTCTATTTAATTAGACCCCGTTGGCAGTGCTTAAGGGAAGAAAGAATAAAATTCGGGGTATTGTCATTTCTGGTCAGCACTTTGAAGGCACTGTTCTTTTGCTTTACCTTTTTTAGTCAAAGTAGACTTTGGAATTCTGAGTTTTATACCTTTATTCCTTATACAATTATTTTAAAATATTCCATCTAACTGTCAAAATAAGTCTCCCCAGTAACCTGTGCTAATACTGGAAACGCCACTCTGCAGATTTAACAGCCAGCTCCTACCAGCTCTGCTTCTGTCAGAGACACTCCGATTTGTACGTTAACAAAATGGAATTTGGACTTAAGTTTTTGCTTGTAGGGAATTCAACACACTGTCATGATAAAGGTCTATATAGCCCTATTTCTGAGAAACAGTACTCCAGTTAACTTTGACCCCAAGGTCAGGAATCTTAAAATACCGCTTAGGAATAATGGTGATTCACTTAAATTCTCATAAGCAAAATCATATTCATGATACCTTCCTTCTCTCCTATCTCTTCACTCAACTGTTGGAGACGCTGCCATTCTTTCAGCTCTCCCGCTAGCTTTTGTTCTGCCTGTTAGTGTTTCAAATTTGATATTACTGAATCATTATATTCTGATAAATATGGTATTAGAGATGGGAAGAAACTTGCATCATCCTTAGTTCTGGGTGGTGACCTCACTCTAGTTAAATATGATCATTCTGTTGTCTGTTTCTGGCCGTGTGCAAGCCCTGGGGTGGTCCACGCTTAGTCACACTGTCCTGCATACAAGATGGGGCTGATTGTACCTGCCACTTCCCCTAGCAGAGGCTTGCTCTGCAGTCAAATGATCGTAGCTCATTGCCAGTATTTCTTGAGCACTGACAGTGTGCCAGACACTTTTCTAAGTGCTTTATCATTTCATCTTCATGTTAGCCCTGTGATAAAGATACTTTTCTAAAATCCCTGAGAAAACTGAGGCACATAAAATCTAAGCAGACTGATATACACTAATTTGTATGAAATAGATAACTAATAAGAACTTGCTGTATAAAAAATAAAATAAAATTCAAAAAATTCAATAAATAAATAATCTAAGCAGACTGGCCCATTATTGCTAGTGAGTGAAAGAACCGGGCCTTGATCTCAGACATCTCGCTCTGGCATTAGAGAGCTAGATGTACCTACTACACCTGTGTTTAAAGTAGCATTGTAATAGGTAAACTGTTTACACATAGGACGTGGTATCTGTGAGCCAAAGAAAGGAGTTGTTTCTCCTTTACTTATTCTCTCTAGCTGATATCTGGATGGCGATGCTAATATCTAAGGCCACTTAGAGATCTCAAATAAATACTTTTCAGGCCCAAGGTGCACTTGTAATGAGCATACCTAGATATAGATCTGTTGGTTCTAAATACAAATAGAGAAGTCCTCCTCTCTAACCCCACCCTTAAAGATTCACAGCCTTTGCCAGTTATGGTGTACTTTAAAAACTGTGAAATCTAATTTTGAAAATCTCACAACATTAACAAGCTGCCTATGAACAGCTCTGAAACTATTTTTCCAAAATAAAAACCCGGTGGGGTGTAGGGACCAAAGTGGCAATGTCTGCAAAGATCTAAAGGTATATTTTATTTGCCAGGAAAGAACTCATGTCACTGAATGGTCTGCACTTCTGTATGGAGAATAGCTCTCCCAGTGTGCATCAGCTTCAGTACAAGAAATCCTACTGAGGTATAGATAGTTCAGAAAGTACAGGGCCTGTTCTCTTAACAGTCAGCTCTTTCCTTTCCCCCACTTTTTTTTTAAACTACCGTTTTTATGGCAACATTATCGCTTTAACTGCACAAAAGAGCTTGGGTTGCAGGTGCACTTCTGACAATACATTCTTCTTAGTGGTCCAAATGGAGCCCAAGTCCTGTGAGACAGGAAACAGGGGAGGAAAGCTTCCTGAGTTTAGCCATTCAGCCAGTGCAAGGCCTGGAAGGCATCGTGCAGGGTGCACAGGGCCAGTCTGCTTGGCTCATGTGCTCTGCACACCGCTCAGCGAGAGAGACGGACACACGGACTGGGCAGTAGGGCAGTGAGTACCATCAGCCTGTCAACCAAAGGCCAGGCATCTCCTCCAGCATCTGTGCATTGTGGCCTCTTTGATTCCAGACCTATCATTAAGGAAAATGCCTCTGAAACATTTTTATTGTCAGAGAAGGCAAACAAATTATTCCCAGGTATTTGCCATGTCAGGGCCTCATATACTACAAAATTTTTTTAAACCGATTTTCAACCAACGTTTGTGTTCTTTGAAGTCAGTTTTTCCCATAAGAACATAACTGTAGTTTATTCCTCACCAGTACATCCAGGCAAACAACTAAAAGATTCCTAAGAAACATTCTAGATGGTTTTTTCAAATGGTCATTCTGAACCAACTTAAATCCTAAGTGCTAATGACTTAGCATTCTAAGTCATCCCTCTGTATTCCAGTTTTGATTTGACGCAGCTGATACTGATCTGAAATTCAATCCTGTCAGCCCCTGAGAGGTATCACCCCTTAGCCCTGGGGGCTGCACCAGGATCTTCACTGTTGAGTGGCTGTGTGGTTTCTCAGGCCAGAGATCCAGGTTGTGTCTTCCGGGGACTAGAGTAAGTCAGCCAAAGGAAGGCTCCTGAATGAAGCCTGAGCAAGGACTGGGGGTGTGGTTGCATCTCTGAGGTGCCCGCGGGGCTCTTGTTATAACAGACTGTGAAAGTTTGTGGAGATCTAATGAACAGTCACAGGAATCGCCTCCCCAGGTGGCCTGGGCCTGCCTGTAAGCTAGAGTGGGGGAGGCGCGGGGAGGGGACCCGCCTGGGAGGAGTGCGGGGAGGTGGCAGGAAGCTCCACTTTCAGTTAGTAAGTCTGTAACCAAAAACCCATCCATCTTTGCTGGCAGGTGGCTGACTGCATTTCTATTATTAGCTGACGGGTGATGTCACAGAACTTGATTGTCATGGTTCCAACTAGGGAATCCTCAGTGGGAAGATAAATGAGGAAGGGGCTCGGGTTATAAACAGAGGTGCCCTCTGGGTGACCTCTGGTCGCTGTAGACCTGGGACACACAGGCTATTGCTCTTCTCCCCACCCTACTTCCAGTAACCCCCAGCCGGAACTGGGGCACCGGGTTCACGCTGTGTAAATTATCTTCCCAGCTAGGAGTCTGGCTGTACAGTCTCAAGTGTGTGGATGCACTTAACCTTCAGTAACCTTTGCATTGTTTACTTTCGAGTATACATCTGTAACTTCTGGCACAAGGTAGGGATATCCTGGAGAGCCAGCCTCCTGGCTGCCTTCTTTTTTTTTTTTTTCCTAAAAGGAAAGGAAGACACACTGGCAAGAGGGGAGAATTTTTCCTGTTTTTTTTCCTTATTAGCTGTAAATGTGAATACTTGTAAATAAGGGTCATTCTGAGATCACAGCCTTGTGAGCCATGTTCCACGGAAGATGTACAGACTGCTGTACAATCTGCTTCTTGATTTAAGAAACCAGTTATTTCTCCTGCCAGCTCTACGGTGCAGTCATATGTGTAGGGTTATCCTTATACGTTTGTAAAAGACTCTACTTTTTTCTTTTATTATATCTCCTTTTTAAATATGCATTTCCAGGGTTTTACCAAAATTTGGTTTGTAAGCATGAGTTGGTAAGTTTTTATTTTAAGGTATCTACATGTAAGAAGATACCTTCTTTTGAAGTTAGTCTTCCTGGCACCTGTGAGAACGTCCCTGAGTCACTCCAGCCCTGGGCACCCAGGGGAGATGTTATGGAACAAGCTCCCCATTGGCTAGCGTAGTCGGCCGTCAGTAGTCGTCAGCGTTCATTCTCGACACGGCCAGGACCCAGGACCAGGCAGACCTGGCCTCGCTAGCGAAGTCTGGGCTCAGCTGAGGCTTTCTGAGGAGAAGCAACAGGCTCATTGCTGTTTCTCACGCCTTTGTAGCACACTCCATAGTCTCCAGTGATTTGTTCAACGCCGGTTCCTCTAAAGTGTGGGTGGTGGTAGCTGTGGTGAGCCTTTGGAACTTCATAGGAGAGGAGCTATGGATAATAATATATGCAATATTATTGTTTACAAAGAGCCATTAATTCTGTTTGTTAGGGTTACCGTTCTGAAAGTAGTCATTGCAAACTGTATGGGGGCAGGAACTCTTGGCTTTTTCCGTCTTTGGTGCATCCAGCTGTAGAAAACAGCCTACAATATAGCAAGCACTTTCTTCATTCAATTAGTAGTTGTTTAATTAATAAGTGAAACCAGTATCTGTTGAACATCTAACATGCTATAAAGACTGTGATCAATGATAAAGCAAGAGCCCTTAAAATATTATGTTTTCAGGTGGGGTTAGTTATTTGCAAGAATCCCACTTAAGTTTTTAAAAGATCTGCTCAATCCTGAGCTCTGTTATTATAATGTAATTATAGTTAAAGCCAAGTCCTGTAACTCTGATACCGACATTAAAGAACTCCAAACCAATATGACTTGTGTTCTGTAAATAACAAATATGATTGCATAGCTCTAAAGATGACTATTAATGACAGCATAGACATATCCAGACATTGAGAAGGCATTGAGATGATATAAAGCTCTGTATTAATTTGTATCATTGCTTTACAACGTAAACACTTCTCATTGCCTAAGACCCAGATAATTTTTCTAATAGTCCATCAAATTGATAGGCCAAAATTTTCATCCCATTTTTCCCTATTCTCAGATATTCAGATTATCTGCATTATAAACAACACTGAAATAAACATTTTTCTGCCGAAAGCCTTCTTTATATTAGATTATTTTCTTGGGATAAAGCAATTACCCAGTCAAAAGGTATAAATATATTTTATGGCTCGCATCTGAAGTGTGTTGCCAAGTAGTTTACAAAAAAAAAAAGCTTTTAGTAATTTTCACTGTGAGAGCAATTAATTTTACTACATTGTTACCCGCAATGGATATTTGTAACGCCTTCTACATAAGATGATGTCTTATTTTCTTTCCTTTTTTTTTTTTTTTCAATAACTGTCAAGGATGAGCTTACTTGATAACCTCTAGATTTCCCCCCATTTTCTCTTGGTACTACTACTATCAGCTAACTCAGGATCCTTGCAAGGTCCACAGACTCCCCAGTCAACTGGCAGTAATTCCATGGCAGAGGTTCCAGGTGACCTGAAACCGCCTACTCCGGCCTCCACCCCTCATGGACAGATTACCCCAATGCAAGGTGGAAGGTATGTTGAAACATCTCTGTGAGCCATACAAAATCAAATTTGTCTATCTTTTCATTTTTCTGGAGCAAACTTTTTATAGAGAGAGGCAATGGTGTTCTCTAGTGAGTTTTGTAAATATTAACTACCACTAGTTTTATTCATATGATTTACTTTGGATGGTTTTTGCAGGTACAGATTTCAAGGTTGTATTATTTTCTCAGTAAGCGTTTGGAGGTGACTAATGCTCTGTCGTTAAGCTTTCATGTCTCTCATCTTATCAGAAGCAGTACAGTCAGTGTGCACGACCCATTCTCAGATGCAAGTGATTCATCATTCCCAAAACGCAACTCCATGACTCCGAGCACCCCGTACCAGCAGGGCATGAGCATGCCAGAAGTGATGGGCAGGATGCCCTACGAGCCCAACAAGGACCCCTTTGGAGGAATGAGAAAAGGTAAATGCCGAGGGGCCTCTGTGCAGGGTTGGTCCAGAGGGTGTTCTTCTGTCTGCCATCCCATGACTGATTCACTGATCCATTCGAGACATATTTGAGTCCCAGCTCCCCAGCCTACTAAATTTCTGGCCTTGGGCACAGTATTTAGCACCTCTGTGCGTCTGTTTCCTCACCTAGAAATGGGGATAATAATGGGCCACAAGGATTAATTGAGTTAATGCACGTAAACACAGCCCTTAGAAGAGTGACTGGTATGTATTGTAAGCAAACGTGCTCCCAGTGCAGCCTGGAGTTGGTGTCATGGTCGTCATGGCATGACCTGGGCGTGGGGCTGAGTGCCAGGTAGAATGCTGGTAAACCAGACAGTCCCTTGCGGAGTTGACGGTCTACAAACAACAAACAAAAAGTAAGTTAAACCACATATATATGATTAAGGATGGTGGTTGATGGAAGGAAGGAAACAAACAGGCAAGAAAGGACACAAAGAGCAGTGATGTTGGGTGCAGGTCATGGAAGGAGGGGCATCTCGTAAGGAGGGTGGCGGGGAAGAGAGGGCTCACAGGAGCTGTCAGTTATCTGCTGAGACCTGGGGAGCGGGAGTCAGTCCGGGAGGAGCCGGGAGTTGGGGAGGCCGAGGCAGGAGCGGGGCTGGTGTGTTTGAGGAGGTGCAAGGCTCCTGGGGCACAGAGAGCAGGGGGCAAGCTGAGCACGTCGAGGCCGACGGGGCAGAGCCTTTGTGCCTTCCTAGGCATGGTGATGATGAGTTTGGGGTTTTATGCAGGAAGTGAGGTGACTGGGTTTTTTGTTAAAAATAAGTAAGTAAATAACTGGACATTTATGGAGAACATATTGGAGAGAGGTGAGGGTGGAGATGGGGAGACCACTGTCATAATCCAGGGAGAGGTGATGGGTCGGAGTCAGACCCCAGCAGGGAGCTTGAGAAGCGGAACCACCCGGCGGTATACGTGTTGGGGGGTAGAAACAACAGGATGTGCTGACGGACTGATCGTGGGGAGAAGAACCAAGTGATGGTGACTGAGAGGGTGAAGATGTTACCACCTGAGTGTGAGCACTTGGGAAAGAGAGGGAAATAAGGTTGGCTGTTACTACCTGTGGTGTGGACATCTGGGAAATGAACAAGCTAGAGAAGGAAATGCCGAGTTGACTTGTGGATAAGTCAGGGCGATAAGTTGTGGAGTGTATGTCTGGAGCTGGGCAGAGCATTGGAATTAGATATAATCATGGAGAACTAAGCAGAGAAGTGGTATCGACAACTGTAGGATGGACGAGGTCACCAAGAGTTCTCACTGACATTAGCAAACACCCAGGGTGGGTTTCTCCTTTGTGGGTATCAGCCCCCAGCACTCCCGTAGCCCTGAGACTGTAGCCATCTAAGTCCATTTTAGCTCCTCCAGTGGCATCCACGTGCCAAATGTTGTTGGCACTCTTCCAGATGCAGTTGAGTCCTGTGAAATTGAGGCATGATATGAACATTTTTTGAAAAGCGTACAGAAAAATGGTGAATAATATTTTTATGGAAGTACTTATTCTGGGATCCCTTAAATAATAGTACTTTTGCTGTATTTAGATGTTTGGGGTACACGAATTTCTTGATACTGTCTTGAGTATAGAGAAACATAAAGCCCGAAGCCTTGGCTTTCACAAGTATTACAGAGCAATGCAAAATAAAAATGAATAATCTCAAATTTTTAGATGTTGAGCATATTACCATTTAATTAGAAATGAAATTATATTTCATATGTGTTTCAGATATCTGTTATACAAAGCAAGATAATCTATAATTTTTCCTTTCAAAAAGTTTACGAGCTGTTTATTCCAAGTAAAGATTTTGCAGAACATGCAATAAATCCATAAGCTCAGAAATTCAAAAGCTTTGTGAATGTTAGCGTTAGCTGTCTTCCTTAGTGGTATGAGATGCTAGAAGGAACATGTCGTTAGTGCTGTTGGTAGATGTATAACATTTTTAGACTCTGAAAGTATGACAATAACATGAAAAAAATAATTAAGTTTTGGAATCTGGTTTCAAAAGTTATTGTGAAGTATTCCAATATCCTACCCATGTGCTGTGTTAGACAGCAAGAGTTCTATTTCTTTTGTTTCCATATGCCGCTAATTTTTTTATAATGAAAATAAACATGGGAGTGGGGGGTGACTGGATTACCTGGCTAGATACTAGGTAGCTCTACAATGTGTTTTCATCAACTGTGTGAATGGTATAGTGGTTCAGCGGGACGCTCTGCCTCGCATTTCCCCAGTCTATTTCAGCTCACCTGCTACCTTACGGTACTGGTATATTTAGTATCAAATTAAAGCAGATAAACAGAAAACCCACAGGAAACATATTTTCTTACAGCCCTACCCCCTGTATAATAAAGTTTTCCATTCCTCGGTTCACCATACCGTGGCGGCGAGCTTGGTGGCGCTCTGATTTTTTGTTGAACGACCAACATCAGTGGCTATCACGCTCCCTGTCGTCGGTGTCGGTATTGTCGCTCTTGCTGCCGACCTGTAATGTGGTGGTGGAGTAGATGAAAGAGCCCAGTCTAAGACTCAGCAGCCCTGAGTAGCCTGTCCACCTGCCTGCCTTCCCCACCTACTCACTTAATTCATCACTGATTGAGGGATTGATTGATTAACTGCTGGTAAATGAATATTTATATATTGTTTAACTTAACAGTGTTTTTATTTTTATTTTTATTTTTATTTTTATTTGGCTGCGTTGGGTCTTCGTTGCTGCACGCGGGCTTTCTCTAGTTGCGGAGAGAGGCCAGCAGGGGCTGCTCTTCGTTGCGGTGCGCGGGCTTCTCACTGCAGTGGCTTCTTTTGTTGCAGAGCATGGGCTATAGGTGCGCGGGCTTCAGTAGTTGTGGCTTGCAGGCTCAGTAGTTGTGGCTCGTGGGCTCAGTAGTTGTGGCTCGTGGGCTCTGGAGCGCAGGCTCAGTAGTTGTGGCGCACGGGCTTAGTCGCTCCACGGCATGTGGGATCTTCCCGGACCAGGGCTCGAACCCTTATCCCCTGCCTTGACAGGCAGATTCTTAACCACTGCACCACCAGGGAAGCCCAAACAGCATATGTTGAATATTTACTAGCATCTACACATACAGTCCTACTTATTCTTTTTAATGCTCTAGCAACGGATGGTTTGTTTCATAATATTTTACTGTTATAAATAATGATGCAGTGATTATTGAAGTATGGCTGTTTTTTCACACTTGTAAGAGTGTTTCTGTGAGATAGATTCCTAGAAGAAGAATAACCGCATCAAAGGATAAGAATTCTTTTTTCAGTTACTGAGTATCTTCTACTATTGTAACAAACTATCCCCAAACTTAGTAGCTTTAGCAACAGCACTTGATTCCGTCTCACAGCCTGTGATGGGCAGGGTGGCCCTGGGCTCCACACATGCTCAGCTGGGGCTCTGAGGCGGCCGCTGTCTGCTGAAGCCTGATGGAGAGCTCTGCTGAGCTGGGGTGTCATTTGAATGGCTGTGTCATCTGGAGGCTCTGCTGGGGGCTCCTGGAGCTGCTGGCGGGTGCCTCCTCTGTGGGGCCTTTCCACGGGGCCTCTCCGTGGAGCTCCTTGGGCGCCTCGTGACATGGTAGACAGGTTCCAGAAGGAGCACTCCAAGAGTGCAGCCTCAGTTGCAGCCACTCACAACGCTCTGCTGCGTCACGTTTGCCGGTGCCCAGCCTCCTAGTGGGTGGGACTTCACAAGCTATGAACGGAACACCCAGAGGTGTGCTTCGTCGGGGGGGGGGGTCACCAAAATATAGCCTATCATAGCAGGTATTGGCAAGTTATACCAATTTAATACTCTTAACATGAGCATGTGGGTCCTCCCATACTAAGAATGATTATTATCAGTGGTTTTAATATTTGCCAATCAGATTGGGAGAGGGGGAAAGTCTCACAGTTGTTTTAACTTGGATTTCCTTAATTATAACTGAGATCATCCATCTTCTCATATATTGAGCGGCCATTTATTTGTCTTTTCCTGTGAATGTCCATCGACGTGTTCACCCATTTTTTAATTTGATTGTCTTTTTTCTTATTAATTTTTAAGAACTCTTTATGTTAGGGAATTAAGTTATTTAGCTTTAGTTATCTCTCTTATTTCTGTCTGTCTGTTTTTACATCTGTAAAATGGAAAGTCACCTCAAAACTGGTTCTGCTGCAGGTTGATTTAAGATCTCGTAAAAGGTATAAAGTATGTGAAAGCACCTTACAAAGCAAAACACATTCTGCCAGTGTCAGGCTTCAGTATTTGCACCTCTCTACCAGCCAAACAAATTTTATCAGCTCACAAAATTTTAATCGGCTTTTATCCCATGGAACATAAAAGTAACCTTCAGGTGGTGGTAGTACTGTATATCAATTAAGATTCGCATTAAAATATTTAATTTGCCTACAGGCTAGTTTCTGGGATGACCCAATTCAATTTCCTTCAGGCTCCGAGCTAATGCTCATTTGCATATTTGACCTAATTGACACCCTACCCCTTGTTACAAATAGTTGTATCTCATCCCTTCTTGAGCTGTTCTTAACTCCCTAGTGATTTTCTTCATCCTGATTTTATTTTATTTTATTTTTTATTTATTTTTTTTTTCTTGCGTTATGCGGGCCTCTCACTGTTGTGGCCTCTCCCATTTGCGGAGCACAGGCTCCGGACGCGCAGGCTCAGTGGCCATGGCTCACGGGCCCAGCCGCTCCGCGGCATGTGGGATCCTCCCGAAACGGGGCACGAACCCGCGTCTCCTGCATCGGCAGGCGGACCCTCAAGCACTGCGCCACCAGGGAAGCCCCATCCTGATTTTAGAGTGAGTCAGCGCATGGGTGGTTATGTTAAGGTTTTCACTTTTTTTTTTTTTTTCCCTAAAAGGGAAGGGAAGTAACTGTCTCTATATATTTCATCTCTTCCTTACAACCATTCCATGAGATGATATTCCCAACCACATTTTATAGACAAGGAATTAAACTTAGAAGTTCAGCAGCTTACCCAGATAAGTATGGATCTGGGCCTGTGTTTGCTTCCTGTATTACTGCATAGCACAGACTTGTGGCTTAAAACAACATACACGTATGCCCTCGCAGTTTCTATGGGTTCTCAGCTCACAGCAGAAATCAGGCTGTCAGCCGGGACTCCATTTCTTCTGAGCTTGTTCAGGTTGTTGGTGGAATTTGCTTCCTCGCAGTTGTCGGACTGAGGTCCTGTTTTCTTATTGACTGTCATCTGGGGCCTTCTCTGCTCCTGGAGGCTTCCGTCGTTCCTAACACATGGGCCTCTCAGGCCAGCGGGGGAGAGTGTCTCCGACTTGCTCGTCTCTCACCTCTAGATGCTGATTTAAAGGGCCCATGTAGGTGCTCTCCCTTTTGGTTAGCTCAGCCAGCTGATTAGTGACTTTAATTACATCTGTGAAATCCCTTTTGCCCTGTGATGTAGCATAATCCTGGGAGTGACATCCTATCACATTCGTAGGTTCTACCCACACTCAGAGGGAGAGACTCATACAAGGTGTGTACGGGGGTGGGGAAGGGGGACCTCAGGGTCCATCTTAGAATCCTGCCCCAACAGAGCCCATCTTGACTCCAGACCTTATGCTCTTTCATCATTATTGTTGTCTGTCATATTAAGGATAACAGCAATGACTAGAAAGGGATGTTTGGGCCCTTTGGCTTTTGAAAGTGCTTAATTTTTCGTCTGTTATTGAAAATATTGCAGTGCCTGGAAGTAGTGAGCCGTTTATGACGCAAGGACAGATGCCCACCAGCAGCATGCAGGACATGTATAACCAGAGTCCGTCTGGAGCGATGTCCAGTCTAGGCATGGGGCAGCGGCAGCAGTTTCCCTATGGAGCCAGTTACGATCGAAGGTGAGTGTTTCCTAAGATGAAGATGAGATGGCTCACTAGAAACTGCCCTCCTCACACACACACTTCTGAGCCCGGGTAGCCGATGGAGTTTCAAAGGATTGTGTGCGTCAGGTGGCTGCCTTCAGTCGACGACTGTAACAGGACTGGGGAGAAGGACCTTGTCCCCAGGCCACCAAGTACAGCTGTATTTTTATTAGCAAGTGCCCGAAAGCACAAATTAGAAATACGCTGGGGCTGGGCTGGCCAGGGCAAGAGTCTCCTCTCTCAGGATGCAAGAGCCAGGGCTGTCACCACACCAAGACCGCCGCCTCGAGCCTCCACACCTGCCTCCTCCTGTGACCTCAATGCCAGCCTGTCTCCCAGAGGCCGAGGTCTGGGCAGTGGTGCCACACTGGGCTGCCAGCAGGCTCAGTGGTAGTGGTTCTTGGTAAGGTCTTCCAGGTGTTGTTTTTTCAGTTGTTTCCACTGTGAACATTTTAAACAGGGAGGGAATACTTTGTTCCTTAATAAGCATCTCTGAGAAAAGCCAGGGCAGCTTTTTTTTTTTTTTTTTTTTTTTTTTTTTTCAGGACAGCATCTTGATATTAAAATGGCAAGTAAGGTTGCACTACTGGCCCAGATTATTTTAATAAGATAGAAGGAAAGTCATTGAAATGTCTCTGAGAGGAAGCTGCTTCCTAAATAGTGGCTTCGGGTGGACTTCTTTGTGTGCAGAAGCCCCCTGACCTTGGTCCTTAACCTAACAGAAGCCCCTTCCCTTGGTTGGCGTGTTCATTCCCTCCCTAATGGAGAAGTGCTCAGAAACAAAGCCTTCAATTTAACATTTTTAAAGAAAACCAGTGGAGGTGCAATAGAAGGCTCCTTTTCTAACTGTCGCTGCGCAGGCAGTTCTCAGGACAGGCAATGGTTTCCATCGTTTCCTTGGAATCCCATGTGGCGAGGCCTCCGTCCACACTGCTGCCCTTTCCTCAGTACACATGCTGTAGGTTAGGTAGTGAGGTGTCCCTGGTTTAACACAAAGGAAAAAAGGTTTGAAAAATCACTGTTTTACCAAACAAGGTTTCTTTCTAGCATTCTCTGTGAGCCTGGTTCTTGAGTTACACAGCCTCACATGCTCAAAGCCATGTGGTACTTTCTAATAGTGACTCAGGAATCTCGACTTCTTATTCTGACCTCCTAGTGAAGGTTTATTTGTGAAATCTGCCTTAGTCAGTTACCATTGTGTGATGTCTAGTGTGCTGGATCAGGGTTTTACTAAGGTTTGGTTTGTTTTTGAGGGTCCAGGAAAAGCTTTTGGTGAGGGTAAGGGGTGAGGGGTAGGCTGATGAGATTAAACGGAGAACAGTCATCCTGGGACATATATTCTTAAAGGAACCCAAGCAAATATGCTTTTCTGTTTCTTCTAGAATGCTTTCTGGAATAGTGCGTGGCCTAGGTTTGATAGTCATTTTGGCTCTACCACATTAGGATTTACCTCATTAAGTTTTCTCTTCTGAAAAGTGTTACTTGTTCAGCTGAAATTTTATCCATGTCAATTATATTTTTTTCCTCCTAACTGTAAGCTACCTTCTAGATATCCATGTCATTAGCAAAAACTTCCCATGTGTCTGTTTTACATGTGATATTCTAGAAATTCATTTATTTTCCTTCTTATTCTCACTCCTTGACCAGTTTAGGAGTATATTCAGTCCAAGTATTCTCTTTCTTACAAGATTCAAAATACTAACTACACCAGCTTAGTTTTTAAGTTTTCAATTCATTGCTCTCTTAAACATGCTATTTTTATGGTATTTATAATTTCTCAATATGAAATAAATGTATTGCTCATTCCCATTTTAAGATTTAATAGAAGTACGTAAATCATCCCTGTTATTCTTTTTTGTAGCCTTTTAGGGTCATAGGACTTTGAAATTTTGAGTAGTTTTGTCTATACTTAGTGTCATTTGGATTGATTTTGAAGTATCCCTTTAAAAACTTGAACATTTTATGTTCATGATGAGAAAGTAAGACATATAAACATTTTCCACCATTATATCCCAATGTTCTGGTACTCCTAGAAATACTGCTTTGATTCTTTGTTTCTCCTGTTATTTCTTTTTTTTTTTTTTTTTTTTTTTTTTTTTTTAGATTATTTATTTATTTATTTATTTATTCTTGGCTGTGTTGGGTCTTCGTTTCTGTGTGCGGGCTTTCTCTAGTTGCGGCGAGCGGGGGCCACTCTTCATCGCGGTGCGCAGGACTCTCACTGTCGCGGCCTCTCTTGTTGCGGAGCACAGGCTCCAGACGCACAGGCTCAGCAGCTGTGGCTCACGGGCCTAGTTGCTCCGCGGCATGTGGGATTTTCCCAGACCAGGGCTCGAACCCGTGTCCCCTGCATTGGCAGGCAGATTCTCAACCACTGCACCACCAGGGAAGCCCCTCCTGTTATTTCTTGCCCTCGTTAATACCTCACATCAGCATGTGCCATGCCCTCCCCGTCCCTCAGTGGATGGGCGGGGCCTCTCTTCAGAGGCGGAGGGTGTCCCTGTCCAGCGGGGCTCCTCCCACCCACCGGCCAGGGATGGGCAGCATCCCCAGAGTGGGTGCTGCCACCCCTTCTGCTGGGAGCTGAACTGCTGCTGTAGCTCACAGCGCTCGTCGGGAGGGTGCAGTGGGGTTTCCAGAAATGGACTCTTCCTTCCTCCCTTGGCCTGAGGTCCATGGTAAGTGAAGTTTTCTTTGAATGCCTCATTCTAGGCATGAACCTTACGGGCAGCAGTACCCAGGCCAAGGCCCTCCCTCAGGACAGCCAGCATATGGAGGACACCAGCCGGGCCTGTATCCGCAGCAGACGGTGAGTTGGCGAGCGGCATGCGTCTCTGTGCTTTTCTGTTTAAAATTCAAACTCGTACCACTTCTGGACAGTTTTAGGAAATATAACAAAAATGACGTATAACAATCAGGTTATGTTTGTTTTTTGCCAAAAAATATTCCTAGGATTTTGAAATCAGCAAATTAGAAATAGCTCTTGAAAATATAACATGTCGTAGGAAGTTAAGGACATTTCATCCTTGTAAATAATAAGCCCAAGTTCAAGTATGGTTTAGACATACGTGTGTTCATTTTAGCACAGAAATTTGTCGATATGTTTTAAAGAGGGTAGGTAGGGAAAACAACTTAAAATATTGCATACTAATAGTGAAAGCTGATTTGTTTTTAAGAGTAAGATATTAATGACCGCATATTTTCACTTTATAGGATAGGTGTTAGGTTCATGCTGTTTACACAGCGCTGCAGCTCAGAGATGGTGGTGAAGTCTGTGAGGTAACCTTGCAGTTTTCACGACCAATGCAGAGGATTGCACAACATGCTATGGCTTTTCAGACACAGGAATTTGCTGTTTCTGAGCAACTTTTCAGGTCTAAGACCTCTTGTAAAATAGAAAGGATTTCAAACATTTATTTAATTTTATTGGAGCATGTTTCTACAGTGAATTGTATTATCGAACCAACTGATCTTAAACAGTTTTCAAGTAAAGTGAAAGAACGCTAATTGACATTTGAGCATCTCCCTCCCTCCCTCCCTCTCATCAGGAGCTTCCCACCCTGATCAAGTGCTGGAACCCCCGGCATCCCTGGGGAGGAGTTAGGAGCAGGGCTGCACCAGCCCTGTCCTCAGAGGCTTTCATGGAGAATGTGACCCAGACAAGCTGGAAGTCGGGACGGGGCCATGGAATGTCAGGTGTCAGGGGGCACAGGTCCAGTCTGAAGAGCCAGGTTCTGTGTGGAAGTTTTTCTGTAAAGTTAGGCCCAAGGAATCTGTTTAACCCAGGACCCCTTCGGGCTGGCCCTCAGAGGGCTCAGTCCCTTCCGATGAGGTCTCTCTCTACCTACGGAAGTCACCCTAGTGCATCCCCAAGCCCCTGTTCGGCACTGCCTCTGTGGTGGCCACCAAAACCATACTCTCCCCAAATTGCAGCCCTCGAAAATACCAGGAGAGAAGGCTTTCCCCCCACCCCACCCCCGCAGAAAATTTGAAGGACATGAAAACAAACCGCGGAAGCTCCTTCAGAGTACGTGACATGGTTTATGTAATACTGAATATAGTGCATAAATTGTTAGTCCGTAGATGTTGTGGGAGCTTCCCATATTCATTTTGAAATGAACATTCCACCAGGTAATAACTGTTTTGCATAATTTAAGTGTGTGATTATACCTGTAAAAGCACATCAGTATGATTTGTCTTTATGTGAATTTTCAGAATTATAAGCGCCATATGGATGGCATGTATGGGCCTCCAGCCAAACGCCACGAGGGAGACATGTACAACATGCAGTACGGCAACCAGCAGCAAGAGATGTATAACCAGTACGGAAGTTCCTACTCCGGACCCGACAGGAGGCCCATCCAGGGACAGTACCCGTACCCCTACACCAGAGAGAGGATGCAAGGCCCGGGGCAGATACAGGCGCACGGGATCCCGCCTCAGATGATGGGCGGCCCAATGCAGTCGTCCTCCAGCGAAGGGCCTCAGCAGAGTATGTGGGCGACACGCAACGATATGCCTTATCCCTACCAGAGCAGGCAAGGCCCCGGCGGCCCTGCACAGACACCTCCTTACCCAGGCATGAACCGCACGGACGACATGATGGTACCTGATCAAAGGATAAACCACGAGAGCCAGTGGCCTTCTCACGTCAGCCAGCGTCAGCCTTACATGTCCTCTTCAGCCTCCATGCAGCCCATCACGCGCCCGCCTCAGTCATCCTACCAGACGCCACCGTCGCTGCCAAATCACATCTCCAGGGCGCCCAGCCCCGCCTCCTTCCAGCGCTCCCTGGAGAGCCGCATGTCTCCCAGCAAGTCCCCCTTCCTTCCCTCCATGAAGATGCAGAAGGTCATGCCCACCGTCCCCACGGCCCAGGTCACGGGGCCGGCCCCCCAGCCGCCCCCAGTCAGAAGGGAGATTACCTTTCCTCCTGGCTCTGTGGAAGCATCACAGCCCGTCTTGAAACAAAGGCGGAAGATTACCTCAAAAGACATTGGTAAGCACGCCCAAGGCTCTGCTCCTGAAATGAATTCCTCTTGTGATCTAGAATTTTAACTTTAGGTTGGCTGTAGTTGCTTAATCTCAAAGGGATGCCATTCTGTGACTACAGACTATCAGGACGTGTTTTTGTGCAGGAGCTACAGTTGGAAGCCGCTCGTATGAATTAAGCAGTAGTGCCAGAGAAGAGCGAGAGTTAAAATGGCATTTTTACGTGTGAGTGTTATCTGTGTGAGAGGGTAGAGCTCCAGGTGAGAGACCAGGGATTCCTCGGTGACTGTGGACTGTGTTTTGGGCTTAAAGATTTGATCTTAACCACACACTTAATCTCTGCCATGTGTGCCTAATAGAACAGCTGCCAGGCTGATGAAACACTAGGACGGCCTGAGAAGATTTGACGGCAGGTCACTCTGTAATTTTGGCAACAACATACAGTGAGTTTCCCCAGGAGCTAAACAGAAAACTGACTGTGCTATGTAGATAGATACATGATGCGCAGTATGGAACTTCATATGACATGATACATAGAATTGTTGTAATCCGTGCAGCACTGCTGATAGCAGCCAAGGAACTCTTTCCGTTGAACGCTGATGTCACTTATTCATCCTATTCGGAGTGTTCTGAATACTAAATAGAGATTCGGAGTATCTGGGAGTACCCAGAGTTTTTCTGCATTATATTTGAAGTCCTTTTTAACACAGCAAAAGGAATAATAGGGTTCAGTTGTATAAGAAATTTTTTCCAAAATTCTCAGAATCATTTGGCTTGAAATCATTTGCAGTGATTAGAAAATTAAAGCTATTAAGGATGTTTTCAATCACTGGACATTAAGGATGTATATGGGGGGTGGGGAGTAAGGAGTTCTACATAGAAGGGGTACTGGAGGCGAGAGAGAGATAGACCCTGAGCACCATGTTACGTATGGAAATATATATGTAAAAATATACACATGTATTTGTGTGTTTATGTGTGTGTGTATAGATGTTTAAATAAATATATATATATTTAAATTTTTAAAAAATTTCTTAGTCCATGTTATACCAACCTAGGGAAACTTATGTTCCTTATTTTAAAATGAAAGCTTGCCTTTTCTACTGCAAAAGTATTATGTGCCTATCTTAGAAAATTTGAAAACTAGATGGAATTAAAATAAAGGTGGAAACCCACGACCCCACACAGGAGCTTGCTGTTGGCGTCTGGGCTGGCTGCTGCTGTGGGGAGTTCCGACTGCTGGAACCACGTGCTGCCGCCGGTTTCCTGAGATGGCTTCCCTTGAAATTTCAGGCACATGATGGGCCTCTCCTCCCAGCCCCATCTTTTGACAGATCTTACAGATCTTTTCCTCTTATCGTTCTGGCTCAAGCCAACCTCCTGAAAAGCCTGAAACGTCAAAGTGCTAATACTTAGCAGCACGTTGTGTGGGCAGGAGCTCAGACAGAAGACAGCACGGGAGAATGAAGGCTTTGTATCTGAGAAGGTGCTGTTTGGGAATTAAATTCTGCTTATATTCTGCGTATTCACCAGCCTTCGGAAGACGCCACCTCGAGACACTTGTGAACGGAGCAAAAGAAGACATACAGAAAGGCTCATTCATGCTTACTCACTCCCACCTCTGTTTAACCTGCAAAGCAAAAAGCTCTTCAACCACAGAAGTTTCTTAGTGCAGCTGTCACCTCCACCTAAGAATCTGACCATGTTTAACTGTCCCTCAGAACATTTGTTTAAAATCAGTATTTAACTTAACACTCTGCTTCTTTTTCTTTTGTTATTTTCTATTCTTTCATGCGTAGAGTTAGCATTAATCATATCCTTCTTTTTTCCCCCGTTTTTAGTTACTCCTGAGGCCTGGCGTGTGATGATGTCCCTTAAGTCAGGTCTTCTGGCTGAAAGTACTTGGGCTTTGGACACTATTAATATTCTTCTATATGATGACAGCACTGTCGCTACGTTCAATCTCTCCCAGGTAAGCCAGCACCAATCCAACTGAGGACCAAATTAGAATAAGAAAGTGACGTAGTGCATAATTCTTAAGCTAACGCCTAAGGTAATTAATTAGCACTCACCAGCTGACATTTTTTAATCATTGCAGCTGTTATAAACCAACATCAATCAACGTGTAGTTGTCTGAGAATTTTGTCTGGAATAATAATTTATTTCAGTCTTTAGTATAAATACACACATACCTATGTTTCTCATAAGAAAATAGTGACCTTGTGTGCACACGTGTGTATGTATATGGAATAGACAATGGTGGTAAAATTAAATTGTTGTTTAGGATGAATATTAGCAGGCCAATGGGAATTAATCCAAATGTAACATAAAGTTATGGCTGTAGTCAGTGTTGGATGAGACATTACCATACAGCAGATAGCAGTGAGACATTACTCTATTTTCCAGGGGGACCTAACATCTTTCTTTTATTAAAAAGAAATGTGAAATTTTAAAAGAATTTTTATATTACAGAAAATGTATAGTATTGGGTTGGCCAGAAAGTTCGTTTGGGTTTTGTCTGTTATGGAAACCCGAACGAACTTTTTGGCCAGACCAGTATTACAGAGAAGTCGAGAAAACAGTTTAAGAAACCCCCTTGCGCCCATCATTCTGCTGCAATAGTAATGAGGTCATGGCCAAACTTGTTTCTTTGTCTATTCCCTCCCTTCTCTGCCTCCCTCAAGGCTATTTTGAAGCAGTCATTTACAAGCCTACTACTTTAAAAAAAAAAAAAAAAAAACCCTCCTTTGTTCTGTTCTAGTCTTCAAGTAGCTTCTAGCATAATAGCTAGAAGAGAGCAAGGGAGCAGAGGATTAGGATAAAGGCCCAAGAGTCAGCTGGACTACAGACTTTTTAAGAAACATTTAGAAACAAAAATCAGAAGAGGTTATTTTCCCTTCTGTGTATGAACAACTCTGCTTTTGCCGAAAAAAGCCAAAACACCTAATTGCATTGCTTCTCCTGAACCAGGACCAGAATCTTCCACTTCCTTTCTTCTCTCATTTAAGTCCTCATTAGAGCCCTGAAAGGCAATTCTTCAGCTGATAGCAAGTATATTAATAAGGCCATGAACATTGCACGAAATCCATTTTAACAGAAAATAAGTATTAAAAGAATATATACTACCTTTGCTAGAGGAATAACTTTTCGTCCTTATGCCAGGTGAACTAACTGCCCTTGAGCACACTTTTTCATAACCAGAACTGCGTCAGCAATTTTCCCTCTTCCCTTGCCCTGGGAAGAAACTAAGCTTTAAGTTGGGGGCGGGGTGGGGGTGGGGTGACATCCAAACCTCCACCTGAAAAATTGTGCCTTCATCCCTAAAGGCAAGTACTGTCTGATTGGTCCTTGGGTTTCCTCTTACTTCTTTTCTTTTTTTTTTTTTTTTTTTTTTACGGTACGTGGGCCTCTCACTGTTGTGAGAAAGCTCCCGTTGCGGAGCACAGGCTCTGGATGCACAGGCTCAGCGGCCATGGCTCACGGGCCCAAATTTGAGAAAAGTAGTACTAGGGATTCCTGTATAGCCTTCTCTCAGTGCCCCCAAACGTTAACAAAAGATAGGGGATTTTAAAATTTGGTTTGTATATATTTAGAAACTGTCTTAAAAGTTCTGGATGCTAAGGCTATAGTTGATGTACTTGAACATAAGAGGAAAGGAAAGAAGGTAAAGAAGGTGGTATACCATCACTTGTGCACTGATAAGCCTGACATACAGTGTTTTCAAGGATATGTCTGGCCAAAGCGGACTCTCCCACTGCGCCACCAGGGAAGCCCTCCTCTTACTTCTTAATAATTGTTTCAAACCCACTTTCAGGAAACTTACAGCAGGATATGAAATTATGGTTGATTTCCATAACATCTGTCATTAAGAAATCCTTGTTCCCTTACTTACCCTTTATCATCCCTAAATGCAGAGGCATGGGGTTGAGGGAGAGGATCAGGCCAATTGCTAACCATGGAGTGTGTTGGTTTTCTTGATGTAAACATTTGCTTAAAGAAAACAAAGATGGTTCTCATAGTGGCTTTTGTCTTTCAGCTGGAGTTGTGAATAGCTGAAATATAAAAGTGCATTCTGTGAAACACTCTCATTCATTTATCAGGGACTAAATTGATTTGTGTTTATGAGCTACTACATTGCTGAAATTATCTTCTCCCCCAAATATATGGAGAATGTAAATTAGAATAACCTATGGCACCTAAGATAAAAATAACCGTAAAATCCTAAGAATAATAACCATAAAAATCCAGGCAAGCAAAGTTTCAGGTAAATAAGAGGACAGACTCAGTTTGGGTAAATGAGTCTAGAAAATCCACATTCCCACTCTTCTAGTCATGATTGCATTGTGTCTAAATCAGAAACAAAGGTAAAGAACAGCAGAGCGCTCCCTCACTGGCAGTATCAGAGATGTGAAAATAACAAGTAAGTTTTCATTGTTGATACTGTAAGAAGGTAAACAGCAAGTAAGAAAGATGGTAAACGTTGGTTTGATCAACAATGAAAACTTCAGGAAGATAGTTCTAGCTGACATATGGTTTCTCTTTCCTGGCCTAGCCAAAAAGGAATTAAAACGTGAAAATAATCATAGCAAATGCATTGCTAGCTATCAGGATTTTCACCCACTCAGTCGCACCTGAGGTTATGACATGGTACCTCTTCTCTTTCTCGTCTCTCTAGTTGTCCGGATTTCTCGAACTTTTAGTAGAGTACTTTAGGAAATGCCTGATTGACATTTTTGGGATTCTTATGGAATATGAAGTGGGAGACCCCAGCCAAAAAGCACTTGATCACAATGTGGTAAAGAGAGATGACAGCCAGTCCTTGGCCGACGATTCTGGGAAAGAGGAAGATGCCGAATGTATTGATGAGGAGGAAGACGAGGAGGAAGACGAGGAGGAAGACGGTGGGAAGGCGGAGACTGAGGACAGGAGCAGCACGGCTTTGGCCTCCCCCGATGCCACCGCGGATCCAAAGGAGAAGCCCAGGCAAGCCAGTAAGTTCGACAAGCTGCCAATAAAGATAGTCAAGAAGAACAACCTGTTTGTTGTCGACCGGTCTGACAAGCTGGGCCGTGTTCAGGAGTTCAGCAGTGGACTTCTGCACTGGCAGCTCGGTGGTGGGGACACCACCGAGCACATCCAGACTCACTTTGAGAGCAAGATGGAAATTCCTCCTCGCAGGCGTCCACCTCCCCCTTTAAGCGCCACAGGTAGAAAGAAAGAGCAAGAAGGCAAAGGGGATCCTGAAGAGCAGCAAGAGAAAAGCATCATTGCAACCATTGATGACGTCCTGTCTGCTCGGCCAGGGGCTCTTCCTGAAGACGCAAACCCTGGTACCCAAACCGAAAGCAGTAAGTTTCCCTTTGGAATCCATCAAGCCAAAAGTCACCGCAATATCAAGCTGCTGGAGGACGAGCCGAGGAGCCGGGACGAGGCTCCGCTGTGCACCGTCGCGCACTGGCAGGACTCGCTGGCTAAGCGCTGCATCTGCGTGTCGAATATCGTCCGGAGCTTGTCTTTTGTGCCTGGGAATGACGCTGAAATGTCCAAACATCCAGGCTTGGTGCTGATCCTGGGGAAGCTGATTCTTCTTCACCACGAGCATCCCGAGAGAAAACGAGCGCCGCAGACCTATGAGAAGGAGGAAGACGAGGACAAAGGGGTGGCCTGCAGCAAAGATGAGTGGTGGTGGGACTGCCTCGAGGTCTTAAGGGATAACACGTTGGTCACCTTGGCCAACATTTCTGGGCAGCTAGACTTGTCTGCTTACACGGAAAGCATCTGCTTGCCAATATTGGATGGCTTGCTGCACTGGATGGTGTGCCCGTCAGCAGAGGCACAAGACCCCTTTCCCACTGTGGGACCCAACTCTGTCCTGTCGCCTCAGAGACTTGTGCTGGAGACGCTCTGTAAACTCAGCATCCAGGACAACAATGTGGACCTGATCTTGGCTACGCCTCCGTTTAGTCGTCAGGAGAAATTCTATGCCACGTTAGTTAGGTACGTTGGGGATCGCAAAAACCCAGTCTGTCGAGAAATGTCCATGGCGCTTTTATCGAACCTTGCCCAAGGGGACGCGCTGGCTGCAAGGGCAATAGCTGTGCAGAAAGGAAGCATCGGGAACTTGATAAGCTTCCTAGAGGATGGGGTCACGATGGCCCAGTATCAGCAGAGCCAGCATAACCTCATGCACATGCAGCCCCCACCTCTAGAGCCCCCTAGCGTGGACATGATGTGCAGGGCGGCCAAGGCTCTGCTGGCCATGGCCAGAGTGGACGAGAACCGCTCAGAGTTCCTTCTGCACGAGGGTCGATTGCTGGATATCTCGATATCAGCCGTGCTGAACTCTCTGGTTGCGTCTGTCATCTGTGATGTACTGTTTCAGATTGGGCAGTTATGACATCAGTGAGAAGGCAGCATGTGTGAGTGAAGACTAGAGGCTCCCGTATAACTGGCTGTTTTCTGTTCTTGTTTCTCCAGTGTAGGAAGATGGAAAGAAAATCTTTGCTCCTCTGCCCCATCCACGATTTACCAATTGGGAATTAAAGAGATAATTAATTCGAACAGTTATGAAATTAATATTTGCCATCTGTGTGTATAAGTACATCCTTTTGGGTTTTTTTTTTATTTTGTTGTGTTTTTTTTTAACCAAAGTTGCTGTCTAGTGCATTCAAAGGTCACTTTTTGTTTTTCACCGGTTTTCTTTTTAATGTGCTTTTCCATGTCTTACTGCATTTTTTGGGAAGTGAATTGACTTTAAAGAAAAAAGTTAGGGTAAAAGATGCTAAGATGGGAAAATTTCACCACACTGAGGCAAAAAGGTGAAAATTTATCAATTTCCTAGCTGTGTTATTCTTCAAATAATGAAAAAATAAAAACTGTATCCCATCGCCCAAAGCTCTGTGCAACAGAAACTTCTAGAGATGTAGGTATAGGGGCTCACGGAGGTGTGTCAGTCAGCAGTCAAAGTATGAAATGATACTGGTTTCTCCACAGGAAAATGGTTACATTAGGCTAGGAGCAAAAACCATGTTTCTTTAAGTTAAGATTGAAAACACATACCTGACAACGATCAACAGAAATTGCTTCCTCACCACTACCGTCATGTCTGCTGTCTGTTGTTTGACCTTCCACATGACAGTTCTTCACAATTCCTTTAATCATTTTTTAAATATTTTTTTTACTGCCTATGGGCTGTGATGTATATAGAAGTTGTACATTAAACATACCCTCATTTTTTCTTTTCTTTTTCTTTTCCTTTTTTTTTTTTTTTTTAGTACAGAGTTTTTAGTTTCTTTTTCATGATGTGGTAACTACGAAGTGATGGTAGATTTAAATAATTTTTTATTTTTATTTTATATATTTTTTCATTAGGGCCATATCTCCAAAAAAAAGAAAAAATACAAAAAACAAAAACAAACAAAAAAAAAACAAAAAAAAAAGAGGGTAATGTACAAGTTTCTGTATGTATAAAGTCATGCTCTATTTCGGGAGAGCAGCTGATCACAATTTGCTTCATGAATCAAGGTGTGGAAATGGTTGCATATGGATTGATTTAGACAATGGTTACCAGTACAGACAAAAAGAAAAAAATACAACTAAAAGGAAGAAACACAACTTCAAAGATTTTTCAGTGAAGAGAATCCACATTTGTATTTCAAGATAATGTAGTTTAAAAAAAAAGAAAAAAACTTGATGTAAATTCCTCCTTTTCCTCTGGCTTAATGAATATCATTTATTCAGTATAAAATCTTTATATGTTCCACATGTTAAGAATAAATGTACATTAAATCTTGTTAAGCACTGTGATGGGTGTTCTTGAATACTGTTCTAGTTTCCTTAAAGTGGTTTCATAGTAACCAAGTAACAAGAAATAGGGGAAAAACAGCCGTGTACTAACATAGCCCCTCATTAAGAAACCCTGAGGTCGGGAGGGACCTTTAAGGGTTACCTACTGGAGAGTGGGGAGCAACAGTTTGATTTTCTCAAAGTATTTAGCTAATTAGTCTTTGTTTGAAGCAATCAACTCTAACAACATTGAGGTATGAGAATTTTCAGTGTGCATGGGAGGTGGCTGCCGGCCCTTGAGGTGAGATCCCAGGAGCTCACTGGCCTGCCAGGTTAACACCCTGCCTTTTTCTATCCCCATCTTAATTTCGATCAGAGTTCAATCTATTCCATGTTTCTCTTGTGTGCCTCAAAGTTATTTTGCATTAGTTTACTCCACCGTGTATAATATTTATATTGTGCAATGTTAAAAAGAATATGTTATATTGTATGTGGTGTACATAGTGCAAAGTGATTATTTCTATTTCAGGGCATATTAATATCCTCATATTCCTTCCTACCCGGTGCACAGCAGCTTTTTAATACTTGTCACTTCTAATTTAAACTTTTTCTTCCTGGGTCGTTGACTGCTATTATGTAACAATCAATTTCTTTGAAACGGCTGCAGAGTTCAGCTGTTAGTGGACACCCTTCTGACTCTACCTCTTCGCACCACCTTACAATCTCAGCAGACTCAGAAATTCCAAGTCCATTCGCCAGACCTGTTACCCGGGCGCACATTACTCGCGATAATAACATGGAAGAGTTAGACGAGAGCGCTCAGTTATCATCAGAGTGTGAAACAGGACTCCAGTGTTACAAGAAAACATTTTTTCTGCAAGCATTCTCATCATCTGGCAACTCCCACATTACTTAGTCTTCTTATATAATAAGGCAGCCAAATATATGTTGAATTTAAAACCCATTTATAATTCTACTTTAAATACATCTGCTTGCTAAGAACAGATTCTAGTGCTCCAACCTTCAAATATGGAGATTTGTAAGAGGGAATTCAATATTATTCTAATTTCTCTCTTACAGAGTATGAATAAAAGGTATACACAAACTTTGAAGTTTGTCAATCAAAAGAGTAAAATCATTACAAAAGACTGTTGTTGTCATGGTTGTTATCGATACCTAGAGTCTGAGCAACAAGATTTTACATACGATACACACCGTAATCTCTATAATAATCCAGGAAGATTTTAGCATCCTTTCTACATTTTCACCCCAGAATGAAGACTACAGAAGCCCATGAAGAACTTACAACCTGCCTGAGATCATCTTGCCTACAAACTGAGTTACTGCTTTGTCCTAAAAATGAGTTGTGGTTTTTTTTCCTATGAGGCTTTTCAGAAATTTACAGGATGCCCATACTTTAAATGTGTACCGAAAAAAAAAAAAAAAAAAAAGATTTAAATAAAGGTGCAAAGAAAGTTTAGTATTTTGGAATGGTGCTATAAAGTTGAATCTGTTGGTATTTGAGTGAATTTTTTAATGTCACATATTACTGGGTGGCATGTGTGCAGAAATAACTATTCAAATGTTTTGTCTGAGATTGAGAATGATATCGAATCAGTTTTTATTTGTGAATGTGGCCTATTCAAAAACTAGTTAGGCAGTTTTTTTTAAGTTATAATGGAGAACGATTTTTTTTAAGGGGGTATATGAGCAGTTTGGTGATAAAGAATGTAAGCTATTAACTACCTCTTTTACGAAAAGAAAATGGCTTTAGCCCTGAAATCATCCATTTAAAACCTGCTGGAAATATTTCATTTTTTATCAAACACCATGTACAGATTCCCATATCTGTTCACCTGCAAGGAAGCAAAGAAAGTATTATAAATGAGCCAAAGTGACAATTCAAACAGCCCATTTTCTTCTTGCTGAGTTTTGTTTCACTTCTTTATCTGGGGAGCTGAGTGCAGCTGCCTGATATGCCCGCACTCTGCCATCCCGTCAGCTCCCTTGGAGAACCTCAGAGTCAAATGAGCTTTTAAAAATGCCAATACATATTTTTGGTGATAGTATATAACCTGCTAAGATGTCACGTTATTCATTAATTCAGCAGAAATGCACTGACCACATGCTGCGTGCCAAGCTCTGTTGTTCTAGGTGCTGGAGGGTCATTCGTGAGCCAAGACCCTGATTCAGTTATGTTCTGGTCGTTCTTGTCAGACAATTACAGAAATAAACTCATCTTCCAAATACAGCTTTTATGCATTGAGAACACTGAGTACATTTTGTTGACTAAGAAGTGAAGTGAGGATCTAGCTGTGGGAATTGGGGTCTGGTATAAGAAGAGTTCTGGACTAAAATCAGAACTCAGTCAACTCTCAGCTGGGGTCTGACGCACATGCTTGTGAGCTCTACAAAACGCAGTGGGACAGCCAGTCTCTGAGGCCCCTTTCAGCCCTACAGTGTGACTCTAAAGCGTCTGGTTCGCTTCCTGATTTTCTCTGCACACGAGGGTGCTTGTACGTTCCCAAGTGGAGGGGAAAAAGCCAGAGTCAGTAGCCTGGCACCCAGTGATCCCAGCTTACGTGATGAGCCCTTGGAAGTTCAGGAATTGACTAAAACTATACAAGAAGACCTTATTTAAGGGCTTTTTTGTTCTTCAGTTCCACAAACCGCCACACGCGCCCACGCCCATCTCCAGTCACTGTGTTTCATGCTTCTATCTGCTGATTTCCAGTCCTACGTTTGTTTTATGACGATCCAAGTCGTGCAGTCCCCTCAAATGCCAAAGTCAGGTTAATTCACTTGGGATTTAAATATATATGAAACGCTGAGGGGAAGGTGGGGGAAGAACATCAAATGTGTCCCAAAGTATGAGACTCATTTTTCTTCCTGAATCTGATTTCAAGGACTTTTTCAAGTTTTACCCCAGCTTTTTCTAAAGTATGTTCTAAGAAGCAGAGATCTAAAAAAAAAAAAAAAAAACACTCCTCACATGTTCCCCTCTTGGGCATCTATAATCCATAGTATCACATTAAAGACTGAGAAATCCTACAAAAAAGAAATCTGTTTATCCCAAGTACTGAATATTTCCTGACTTAATCAACCTTGGAAATTTTTTTTTTTTAATCCATATAAACGTGCTGCAGAGCTCTGGGAAATAACTGCATTAGCCGAGAATCATGCTTGACTTCTAAACATCCATGTTCCTTGCTTATCCTCAGTGTATTCTTATTTCTTAAACTGAAATTGAGATGTCCTCATTGAAGGAGACGTCACGGAATCTTCTCTTGCTATCTCCGTGACCTTCAGCAAGGTACTTAGATTCTTTGAAACTCACTTCCTCACCTGTAATGTGGGTGTAACACCTACCTCAAGATTGATGAGGATTAAATTAGATAACTGTATAAAGGTCTTGTAACCTTTATACAGCGATTACTGTATATCAATCCCAAACATACATAAACACTTTCCGTTTGGTAAGTGCCCGAAAGCGTATTTCACATAATTTAAAAATCTGGTCTAAGAGAGATTCTTTCCATTTTCATAGTCACACAGTTTGTGTGACTTGTTTGTTTTTGGTTTTCTAGTAAAAGCCATAAAAGCTTAGTCTAT